ATAACATGGCCGAATACGAAGCCTGCATCCTGGGGCTCAAGATGGCCATTGACATGAACATTCAGGAGCTGCTAGTGATCGGGGATTCAGACTTTCTCATACATCAGGTTCGAGAAGAATAGGCAACCAAGAACTCCAAGATACTCCCCTACTTGCATCACATACAGGAGTTAAGGAAAAGATTCACAAAAACGGAATTTCAACATGTCCCCAGGGTCCAAAACGAGTTCACTGACGCACTAGCTACTTTATCATCCATGATCCAGCATCCAGACACAAATTTCATTGATCCCATCCCAGTAAAGATCTATGATCAGCCAGCTTATTGTGCTCACGTTGAGGAAGAAGCGGACGGAAAACCATGGTTCCACGACATCAAGGAGTACTTGAGAACAGGAGAATATCCAGAACTTGCCAACGCCACTCAGAAACGCACACTTCGGAGGTTATCTAACAACTTCTTTCACAGTAGAGGAATCCTGTATAGGAGGACTCCCGATTTGGGATTACTAAGGTGTGTCGAAGCAAAGGAAGCATCCAGGTTATTAGAAGAAATTCACGCTGGGACCTGCGGTCCGCACATGAATGACTTTGTCCTAGCAAAGAAGATACTCCGAGCAGGATATTTTTGGATAACTATGGAAACAGACTGTATCCAGTATGTTCGCAAATGCCATCGCTGTCAGATACATGCAGACATGATAAAGGTGCCTCCAAACGAGCTTACTGCAACAAGCTCACCGTGGCCATTCGCCGCCTGGGGAATGGATGTTATTGGACCTATTGAGCCTGGCACATCAAACGAGCACAGGTTTATCCTGGTGGCAATTGATTATTTTACCAAATGGGTTAAGCAGCGTCATACAGGGCAGTGACTAAGAAAGTTGTGGCAGATTTCGTCCGTGATCGTATTGTTTGCCGATTCGGGATTCCAGAATCAATCATCACTGATAATGGTTCCAATCTCAACAGCGACTTGATGAAAGCCATGTGCGAGTCATTCAAGATCAAACACAAGAATTCTACAGCCTACAGGCCTCAGATGAATGGAGCTGTAGAGGCAGCCAACAAGAATATCAAGAAGATATTAAGGAAGATGGTCGAAAGTCACAAACAATGGCATGAGAAATTATCATTCGCCCTACTGGGATACCGCACCACAGTCTGCACATCGACCGGAGCAACTCCCTACATGCTGGTTTATGGTACAGAGGCGGTCATCCCCGCCGAGGTAGAGATTCCCTCTTTGAGGATCATACAAGAAGCAGAGTTGGACGACACAGAATGGGTACAAGGTCGCTACGAGCAGTTAGCCCTTATAGATGGGAAAATGATGAAGCGGTCAGTTGTATCAGAACAGAATGTCCAGAGCCTTCAACAAAAGAGTTAAGCCAAGGAAGTTTACACCGGGGCAGCTGGTGTTGAAGAAAATATTCCCATATCAAGATGAAGCCAAGGGGAAATTCTCTCCCAACTGACAAGGTCCGTACATGGTTCACCGGGTTCTAACTGGAGGAGCCCTTATTCTTGTAGAAATGGACGGAGAAGTTTGGCCAAAGCCAATCAATTCAGATGTAGTGAAATGATACTATGTGTAACCACTTATGATTTCTTATGATGATGTAGTTTGAACTACGCCTGACCTGATTCCCGTTTAAGAGGGGATACGTAGGCAGCCCTATGGGTTCGGTCACAATTTAATAAAAATTCCATTTTCCTCCCTGCTATTGGAACTGGGGTAGAATT